ACCCAACCCAACCCAACCCAACCCAACCTAACCTACCCTTGTATGTATATTATGTATGCTGGATTATGTATTATGTATGTATATTATGTATGTGCTCCATTTATATTTATTCAGCCTAGCTAGCAGCGTGTGGCAATGTTATTACCATATCCCACATGCTTAATTAATGTGCCTGGCGACGTATGGAAGCTGCTAATGTATCACTTGCCATACGTCGTCTATGGTAGTTGACCAGGACCTTAGCTAGGGAGCAGTGCTACCCACCTCTGTGTACATACTCTTATCCAGTAAACCGAACCTACAAAACTATACAGGTGTTTGTGTTCTCTCCTGTATATAGAACTTATTACCCAGAACATCTAACATGGCGCAGTGCGTAGTTTTACTGGATTATTACGAGTGATTAGTGCAAGTTTGTGGAAAGCCAGCTGATGGATCCCCGCCTTGGGTCAACCCCGCGTCATCCCTCGAAGAATTTCGCAACTTTGAGCAGTGTCAGTGACAGTGATTTTCTGTGAAGTGTTTAGTGCATTGTGTGTTTCGTGCCATTCATGTGTGACCTTGTTCGAACGGATTTCCAAGGTATACGGCATGTTCTGGGCATTTGTGGGGTGTAGAGCTCAGCGCACCCTCCTCTGACCGTTTACAGAGAGCGACTGAGCTACTCCTATCTCCACCCCCCTCCCTCACAGCGCCGCCTCCACCCCCCTCACAGCTGGGGCGAGACGCTCTGCCTGCCTGGGACACACACATACATGTACTAACACTTGCTGACCGCACGGCTTCATTATATATATTTTATATATATAACCTACTTATCTGTGTATTTAATTAAATTTTTTTTGTCTGAAATCTTGTTGATACGACGGGCTGACCGGTCAACACTGATTTAAGACACAGTACACAGATAAAGTAGTTATGTCTCATGCCTTACGTAGCCGTGGACCCAGCGCCTGGATGAGTCAAGCGGATGATAGTCCCCCAGAGATGGATGACCAGGCCGGCCCAGCTCCCACAACATCGCGCAGCCCTTCACCTCAACATTCAGCGTTATCTCCAGAGATAATTGCCTTAATGAAGTTTATGAGAGATGAGAGACGCGAGGATGAAGCTCACAGACGTTTGGCGGATGAGCACAGAAGGCAAGCAGAGGCAGAACGAGACCACCAACGGAGAATGGAAGACAGTGCACGGTTTGAAGCCTTGATATCTCGCCTCACTGTTAACCAAGCCCCTGGCTCTAACACTGCCTCGGTACTGAATGGTTCAGATACCTCATCCATGCTTCCTTCACGCCCCCCAGCCCCACCTAAAGCAGCAGCTCAAACGCCGCCCATCTTGGAGCCTGATGTAAATTTCCAGACTTTTCGCGAATGGCGGCGGCGGTGGGCTGATTATGCTACAATGGTGGATCTCCAGAGTTTGTCACAGCCTAAACAACTCATCCAGCTGCGTATGTGCCTGTCCTTGGAAGTTCAGCGTGTCTTAGAACATACGTTGCAGGTACCCCCAACCTCTTCGCTGTCTGTAGAGGAGGTACTGGACGTTCTACAACGGCACATCAAAGGACAGCAGAATGAAGCTCTGCGCAGGAGGGAATTGTTTAGCTGCAGACAGATGGAGGGTGAGTCTTTTGACGCTTTTTATGTACGTCTTAAGAGAGCCTCGGAAGAGGTAGATATATGTTTAGGCCACCACCAGCAGTGCGAGGAGACCCAGTTGAAGCAGGTGATCCTGATGGGTGTTAAGGACGAGGAACTTGTCCAACGCCTCACCTCCCTCGACTCTTCCTCTTCTCTTCAGGATGTGTTGACGATATGTCGCTCCTATGAGGCTGCCAGGTGTGCCACCTCTGCCATCCGAGCTCCCCCTACAGCTGTACGCGCTGTTTCCCGGTACAAGAAGGACAAGAAGTCTGCTCCTACGCCTTCGCCCACCACGTCCACGCCCGGTTCATTTTGCAACAACTGTGGTAAGCAGCACGGAACACAGGTATGTCCAGCTGCTCAGTCTACCTGCAACAGTTGTGACCGTAAGGGCCACTGGTCACTCACAGTACGGTGCCCAGCCAAACGCGTCCAGTGCAATGTGTGCGGCCGTCTGGGCCACTATGACAAGTGTTGCCCTTCCAACAAACCCAAGGAACAGCGTCAACGGAAGCTTCAGCGCCCTTCTACCAGAGAGGGCCGCCCACAGTCGCCAAATCAGAGGCACGACGACCCTGGACAAAGCCCGACCCATTTTAGGAGGGTGTACTCCTCGCATCCCAGGACCAAAGTCCCCCAGTACATCAGCGTCATCGTGACCTACGGCGGTGTGTCATCCCGTCTTCAGATGTTGCCCGACACCGGCGCTGATGCTACAGTCATCGGTCCCCAGCATTTGCGATGCTTGGGGCTCTCTCCAAGCGATCTAGGACCGCCTCCCGAGGACCTCTGCTTCATGGCAGATGGTTCACAGATGGCCCCAGCCCTGGGTTCACTCTATGCACATGTCACCTTTGGCAACAGGTCGTGTCAGGCCTGGATTGACGTGCATAATGGTGTCCCGACTCCCTTGCTGTCCTACAGACATTGTCAAGAGTTGGCCATCATCTCCCAGGACTTCCCAACACCGATTCTCGAGGTAAATTACGCCAACAGGGTGCATGAAGGGAGCAGCAACTACCCTGCTGCCGCCCTACCCCTACCTCTGGCCAGTGACACCTCTCCTTCGGTAGTTGTCCCTGCTGCATCACGTCCCCACGCCTTGGCTCGCCTTCACGACAGTCACCGTGGAGCTGAGGCCACCAAACGACGTGCACGACAGACTGTGTTCCGGCCTGGCATCGACCCCGACATCTCCAATGCTGTCCAGTTGTGTAAGCCCCGCCACGTATTACAACCCAGCCAGCAGCAGGTACCCTTCATGAGTGACGACAACCCCACCCGCCCCTTTGAGTCTGTGTCGGCCGACTTTTTCTGTGTGTCAGGAAAGTCCTTCCTGGTTATCGTCGACCGTCTCTCTGGTTGGCCGGTTGTCATCAAGGGCGGTAATGACACGACGTCTGCCGCCACCATCAGCAAGTTCCGCCACTACTTCCGTGACGTGGGCGTTCCTGTACGCCTGCGAACCGACGGAGGGCCTCAGTTCACAAGCCGGGACTTTGCTGCGTTCCTTGACTGATGGGGAGTCCGGCATGTGTTGTCATCGCCCCATTACCCGCAGTCCAACGGCCACGCTGAGGCTGCTGTCAAATCTTTGAAGCACCTCATCCTTAAGGTGGCCCCTTTTGGGAATATTGACTGCGAGGCCTTCGACCGGGGTCTTCTTGAACTCCGCAACACACCTAACTAAACCGGACGCTCCCCTGCCCAGGTTTTGTATGGGCGCCCCCTTCGTTCTTGTGTCCCTGCTCACCCTCAATCCTTCTCCAAGGAGTGGCAGGCTAAGACAGAGGATTGTGATCGCCGAGCCGCCGAACGTGTTCAGGACGTCGTCGCCCGCTACAACGACCACGCCCGTTCTCTCCCCAGGTTGAGTGTCGGTACCCAAGTCCGTGTTCAGGACCCGACCTCCCTGCGTTGGGACAAAGTAGGCGTAGTCATGGGTCTCGGCAGGTCACGGGACTACCAGGTGCGGTTACCCAGTGGTCGCGTGTGGTGGAGGAACCGCCGTTTTCTCCGCCCCGTAACACTGCCTTCTGCTGGCCCCGCCACCAGTGTTGAGTCCCACACCCTTCCCAGTGATGAAGTCCCTCGACGCTCAGAACGGATCCAGAAGAAGAGGTCCGCTCAAGACTTTGCTATGGGCGTATAGGGGGGAGGGAGGTGTATGTATATTATGTATGCTGGATTATGTACTATGTATGTATATTATGTATGTGCTCCATTTATATTTATTCAGCCTAGCTAGCAGCGTGTGGCAATGTTATTACCATATCCCACACGCTTAATTAATGTGCCTGTCGACGTATGGAAGCTGCTAATGTATCACTTGCCCATACGTCGTCTATGATCAGATGACCCAGGACCTTAGCTAGGGAGCAGTGCGCTATCCACCTCTGTGTACATACTCTTATCAGTAAACCGAACCTACAAAACTATACAGGTGTTTGTGTTCTCTCACCTTATATAGAACTTATTACCCAGAACATCTAACAATATGATGCCAGTTTCAAAAATTTTTTTGGATGGAATTATATTTTTTCATAAATTCTGTCTCTATCTATGTCTGTCCATTATATACTGTATACCCCCCTGTATATATATATATATATATATATATATATATATATATATATATATATATATATATATATATATATATATATATATATATATATATATATATCTTGATAAAATCACACAGGGAAAAGGGAAACAATGGAGAACCTTAGCTTTCGTCTTTATTCAAGACAATTTTTTTCTTTTATCCTCTTCACCACTGATCGGCTCGTTAGCCGCTTGGGCGATCGGTCACGTCTCTGTTACGCACTGTTGGCAAGTACTGGGCATGCACCGGCTCCTGAATGTACCTGAACCTGCTCCAGTGTTGGTCAAGTCTGGTCTTGAAAGAGCTCACACTCGGTGCCGCCACAACACTTTCTGGCAGATTGTTCCAAGAGTTCACAACTCTCACTCCGAAAAAGTTTGCCCTCACAGTTTTCTGGACCTGCGGCTTCTTCGATCTTGAGCTGTGACCCCTTGTGGGGCGAGCGTCCGCCAGCTCCAAGTAAGGACACTTTACTGAGTAGTGCCCTTTGAGATGCTTATATACTTCAATTAGGTCGTCCCTTGCCCGTCTGAATAAAGACGAAAGCTAAGGTTTTCCATTGTTTCCCTTTTCCCTGTGTGATTTGATCAAGATTTGTCTTACCCATGTTTCCATTGTGGATATATATATATATATATATATATATATATATATATATATATATATATATATATATATATATATATATATATATATATATATATATATATATATATATATATATATATATATATATATATACTTACGTCTAGGAGAGGCATGACGGCGTCAACTATGGTCTTGTCACCACCCACATACGCGATCATCTGTCCTTTCTTGAGTGCGTCCAACCCACCCGTGATGGGCGACTCCAGCATGTGCGCCCCTACTTCATGTACTGCCTTCATGTATACCTGCACATGACGTGAAGTACAGTACATAACAATATATTACAGTGAAACGAATTAGAGACCGATGCGCATTACAGTGAAACGAAGTACACCGTTTCACATTACAATAAAAAGAACGATACAGTAATACAATACAACGAAATGCAGTAGACTACAATAGAAGAAAGTTTATCACAACAAAATGTAATATAGTGCCATTAAATACAACATCATGCAAAAAATAAAATAAATGTCAACCGTAAAATGTTTTGTGATACTGTAACAGGGTTTTACTAACTGATACAACAGAACAAAACTACAAAACACCCAATTTAATACAATGACGTAAGATACAATAGGTTATAATATAATTTAATACAACAGTTGATGGAAGAGGCATAGGGGGGTTTGAGAAGAGTTAGACAGAAAGGATTTAAGAATAGATGTGGAGGATGGGACTTGATAATGGCGGGAAATGAAGTAGATTGACGGTGGAGATAGATGAGATGACTTAATAATTGGGTAAAATAAAGATATAGTGGTGCTGAACAAGTAGGAATTTGATAACGGGGTAAATAAATGAGATGCTGATGATGGATGTACAGTCACCCAAAAAAGTCCTGTCGCGAACCACGATTCAGACTCGTGAACCCGAAGCAGTAGACACTGATACATTATTCTGTCCATAAATGCTTCGGATTCAAGAGTCTGAATCTCGGGGTTCATGGTTCGCGACAGGACTTTTTTGGGTGACTGTACAGTAAGTACAGTCAGCCAAAGATCCAGCGATCCCACCCTGAGTCTCTTACTGGCAATTTTACCTGGCAAATTTTCGTATATTTGCTTAAATAATGAAGAAAATTATATAAAAGAATTGGCAACTCAACTACAACCAAAACTGCCACAAGATTCTCATCAAATTTTCTTCATTGTTTAAACAAATATACGAACATTTGGAAATTTCTCATGATCTAAAATAATGATGAATAGTTTATTACTATAAAAATGTTACCTTTGGTTTGTTTAATCTTTATCCTGACAATGATACAGCCAAAACAGATCCACCAATCACAATCACCTTTACATACAGCCTTACTTTACCAAGTAGTGCCAGGTAAAATTGCGAGCACGAGACCCAGGGTGGGGTCGGTGCATCTTTGGCTGACTGTACAAAGAATAACATGGGATAGAGAGAAATATGGACTTACTTGCGTCTGCTCGAATTCTGTTGTAGAGTGGTCGATCCATATCTTGCCAGCGGTTAGTGACGTCAACACGCCGTCACTACCCTCGGCTACAGCCTTCACATTGGGCGGTTTTGGCAGGCCTGTGACGTCAAATGATAGAAGCTAAAGTGACGGTGGTAGTGAGATGTGTGACGATGGGGCTAACGTCATAGTTTGTGTGTCGGGATAGCTAATGTTTCACATTAGTTAGGTTAGTGTGATGTCAAGAAAATAGTGTGACGGGAATACAAGTGACGAGAAGAAAATGGTGTGACAGAGTTGCTAAAGCAGGGTGAAACTATGGGCAAGTTTCTTTACGCCATTTGCCTCTGTCTACCCAGCAGTAATTGGGAACCTGATGGATGTTAATCGATTTGCGGATCGTAATCCGGGATAATGGTTAGCCAGTGCAGTTGGCGAGTTGTCCGGTCTTCTCAGACTATTCCTTGACACTGGGTCATACGACTCGTTAACTCAGGGTGTGGTTATTGTGTTGGCGACAGCTTCTACACCTTAAACAATTTCACGCCTAGGTGGCTCTCGGGCCCAAGAGCCACCTAGGCCATCCTCAAACACGAGGGACAACCATTATGATGCCAGTCACAATATTATAACTAGCGTATCACGAGAAAGTAATAGTAATAGGTATGATAACGTTATTAACACTTATTATGATGCAAGAAACAAGCAGTGTAACGCCTATAACAAGCAGTGTAACGCCTATAACAAGCAGTGAAACGCTAATAACAAGCAGTGAAATGCCTATAACAAGCAGTGTAACGCCTATAACAAGCAGTGAAACGCCTATAACAAGCAGTGTAACGCCTATAACAAGCAGTGTAACGCCTATAACAAGCAGTGTAACGCCTTTAACAAGCAGTGAAACGCTAATAACAAGCAGTGAAACGCCTATAACAAGCAGTGAAACGCTAATAACAAGCAGTGAAACGCCTATAAGCAAAGCAGTGTAGCATACCGCCAACAAGCAATTAGCCAACACTATAACAAGCAGTACCAACGCCTGTAACAAGCAATTAATAACGCCTATAACAGCAGTGAAACCGCCTATAACAACAGTGAAACGCCTACCAACAAGCAGTGAAACGCCTATAACAAGCAGTGCTTAACGCCTGCATAACCAAACAGTGTAACGCCTACGCAACAAGCAGTGTAACGCCTATAACAAGCAGGGTAACGCCTACCAACCAAGCAGTGAAACGCCTACCAACAAGCAGTGAAACGCCTAATAACAAGCAGTGAAACGCCTACCAACAAGCAGTGTAACGCCTAACAAGCAGTGTAACGCCTATAACAAGCAGTGTAACGCCTATAACAAGCAGTGTAACGCCTACAACAAGCAGTGAAACGCCTATAACAAGCAGTGAAACGCCTATAACAAGCAGTGAAACGCCTATAACAAGCAGTGAAACGCTAATAACAAGCAGTGTAACGCCTATAACAAGCAGTGAAACGCCTATAACAAGCAGTGTAACGCCTATAACAAGCAGTGTAACGGCTATAACAAGCAGTGTAACGCCTATAACAAGCAGTGAAACGCCTATAACAAGCAGTGAAACGCCTATAACAAGCAGTGTAACGCCTATAACAAGCAGTGTAACGCCTATAACAAGCAGTGTAACGCCTATAACAAGCAGTGTAACGCCTATAACAAGCAGTGTAACGCCTATAACAAGCAGTGAAACGCTAATAACATAACAGTAGAAACATACAGGTTAGGATAACATCGGACAGCTGCACCACCTCCCTTGGCGTGGAGACTCGAGATACAGACGAAGGCAGATCTACTAGACGGCGGGGGTCACTGTCACACGCTGCTACCACCCTGTATCCTTTCCGTGTCAGGTTGTTGGTCACAGCTTCGCCTGTTGGAGGTCATTTGAGGTCATGGGAAGACATTACAGCATAGGTCGTTTATTCCTAATACACTTCCCATAAATTAGGCTATTTCAGCTATTTGTTTATTTACGACCTCTAACTATGGGAAAGTGCCAAACTACATACATACATACATACATACATACATACATACAGTACATACATCATAAACATTATCCCTACCATAAATCCTCCATGTGTGTGTGTGTGTGTGTGTATACATAGATGATTCACAGGAAACATAAACATACCAACTTGTCCACATCCGATGACGCCGACTTTGGTTTCCTTGGTGGCGGTGGTGAGGTTTCGAGTCAACGTGTAACAGGGCCCCATCATGGTCTTATTCAGCCCTGTCAAGCTATGGCTTCCCACTGCCAGGGTCCTGCCAAGCTTTGACAGGGATCGAATGCAAGCGCGACTTACCATGGCGTAGGTTATTCTGTTAAATGATACAAACAGTTAACTGGTCTGGTAAAAGAGATAGAAACAGTAAAGTCAGGGGAAATCCTTCACTACCTTCAGCGGTAAACAAGATTGGCCAAGATAAAGAGTTACTATAAGTTAGTACAGTAGGTCAGTGAAGATATACCTTTTGTTTCTTACATACTGTGAGAGTCGACTTTAGAGATGGAGGAGAATTACAAGTACTTTCTAAAAAAATATACTTATGTATCCATCTATCTATGGGATCATTTGCATATCATGTATTTGAGAGCATAAAAAAAGTACATGCCCAGTACTTGCCAACAGTGCGTAATGGAGAATTAACCGACCGCCCAAGTGTCTGCACGCCGATCCGTGGCGAACAGGAGGATGAAGTAAAGATACATCGAGCTCATTGGCCACCATAAACGTAGCGGAGCCCATCAACAGTGCACACGTAAAAAAAGGGATGGGGTACATGGGAAATCATGTTAATTGAAAAATACTACTTCTTTAGGGTAATGCACAGTCGATAAGAAAACTATCATTACAAACCGACAAGGTACTGTATAGAAGAGCTTACTTAACAAGACAATAGGAGTCGCAGCGCTCATTTTAAAACCACTATGAACTTGTATGTCAATTTTAATAAAATATACACACACACACACATCCACATCGGCGTGGTAATAAAGCAATGTGGTTAAGTAACGATCGAAGTTCAAGGAGACCGAGATACTGTGTAATACTTGTTAACAGGTGGGATTTTTTCTTCTCAAGATTACAGGAGCGAGTGCAAGGACGCCGAAAAATAGTGTTAGAAATCATCATAGTCTGTATACTTGCAATGTTAATACACTGGACATTGTATACCTACACGGTATACCCTTATTTTTACACTTTACTTACTTTTATCCTCTTCACCACTGATCGGCTCGTTAGCCGCTTGGGCGATCGGTCACGTCTCTGTCACGCACTGTTGGCAAGTACTGGGCATGCACCGGCTCCTGAATGTACCTGAACCTGCTCCAGTGTTGGTCAAGTCTTGTCTTGAAAAAGCTCACACTCGGTGCCGTCACAACACTTTCTGGTAGATTGTTCCAAGAGTTCACAACTCTCACATACTGAACTGTATACGTGCATTGAGGAGGCGGACCCTACTGAATATAATATAAGCATCTGATGACTTCCGACTATCCCTGGTCGAACTGGCAATGTTTATCATAGTTTGTATACCTGCAGTGTCTATCCATGTACAGTACATTGTATACTTGCGCTGTCTTGGTACTTTCAAATATACCTGCATTGTGTATATGCATGTTGAATTGCGTAGCTGCGTTGTTTATATATATTCGAAAAACAATTGTAAACTTATATGACGATCTCACATAATACACACCTATGGTCACACTTACTGGTATACCGGCTAGTGAGTGTTCCTGGAGACGGAGCCAGGCACAGTGACGGTGAAAGGGCAATAAGATACCGATAGGACTGCTGCCGCCCCCCACAACACAAACACATTCATCTCCTGATAACTTACTTCTCCCACGATTATCGTTGAGACTTTTTATGCCGATTTAAATGTATTGATGCCACTCTGACATCTTCGAGCATTATATTCTACGATCACAATTACAGGTATAAATTCTATGGATGAAGAAAATGCACTAGTTGAGACTGTGTGTGAGAAGGACCTAGGTGTGTATGTTGACAATGAGCTGAAGTTCTCGAGCCATTGTGAGAAGAAGGTAAATCAGGGAAATAAATTATTGGGTCTTATAAGAAGGTCGTTCAGATATCTAGACGGTCCGTCCCTCGTGACGATCTTCAGGAGTGAAGTGCTTCCCTATCTGGAGTACTGTCACCCCATCTGGTCCCAGATATGCTAGGACTGTCAGTTGGTTGAAAATGTTCAAAGGAGGGCCACCAGACTGGTGCCTGCACTTCGGCACCTCAGCTACCCTGAGAGATTGGAGCGCCTGAACTTGCCTAGCTTATATTACAGACGGGCAAGGGGGGACCTAGTTGAGGTATATAAGCATCTCAGGGGGCACTACTCAGTTGAGTGTCCTTACTTGGAGCCGGCGGACGCTCGCCCCATAAGGGGTCACAGCTCAAGATTGAAGAAGCCGCAAGTCCAGAAAACCGTGAGGGCAAACTTTTTCGGAGTGAGGGTTGTAAACTCTTGGAACAATCTACCAGAGAGTGTTGTGACCGCACCGAGTGTGAGCTCTTTCAAGAGAGAACTTGACCAACACTGGAGCGGGTTCAGGTACATTCAGGAGTCGGTGCATGCCCAGTATTTGCCAACAGTGCATGACAGAGACGTGACCGATCGCCCGGGCGGCTAGCGAGCCGATCAGTGGTGAAGAATATAAATGAAAAGAGACGTGACCGATCGCCCAAGCGGCTAACAAGCCGATCAGTGGCGAAGAGGATAAAAGTAAAAGTAAAAGAAGTGTATTAACTTTTGGATTTATTTTATCTGCCATAATGTCCAAATAATGAATTACTGCCACAACTACAACACACCTAGTCACTGCCACAGTGTACTGCGCACATCATTGTCATTCTTAATATCTCTTCAATTCATATTACTCTTGGAACACTCTACCAGAAAGTGTTGTGACGGCACCGAGTGTGAGCTCTTTCAAGACCAGACTTGACAAACACTGGAGTGGGTTCAGGTACATTCAGGAGCCGGTGCATGCCCAGTACTTGCCAACAGTGCGTGACAGAGACGTGACCGATCTCCCAAGCGGCTAACGAGCCGATCAGTGGTGAAAATGATATAAGTAAAAGTACATAACATTCAAATCCACCGCGCTTGTAGCCACAGAAAATTGTAGAAAATAGAAACTTTAATAAGGGATAACTCACCTACTGTATGTTGTTTTAGAAGAATTGTACCAATGTACGGCCATATAATATTAAGAGTAGGTATTGATAGCATTAAGGAGAACTCAAGGTATCTATAGCATGACTGGGAAGGTCCAATTGATACGGACTAGTGTACGATAAGGGATAAGTGTAACCGTGTGTAGACAGTGTCTGAAGGTCATAATATTTACGTCTGTGAACGATTAGTACCACAGATATCAGATGAAAATATGAGAGCAATGACCTGGAAAAAGGATAAATGTATCAGACCTATGTGAAGTGTTGGAAGTGATCCACAAACTATGCTTCAAAGAGAATATATTTTATACCTCGGTGTGAGCTTAGTACACCTTGTTACTTTTACTTACTTTTATCCTCTTCACCACTGATCGGCTCGTTAGCAGTGGCGTAGCTAGAGTGTGTGCCGCCCTGGGCGGCCCTTGAGTTTGCCGCCCCCCATCCGTGCCCCCACAAAAAATACATATTGCACAGTGACTCACTCTTATATATATATACAGTATATATATTAAATAGTTTGTGTACCATTATAATATTACTGTACTTTCACATACTCAAATATAGTATGCTTTAAATACACCCCAAACATACTTAAACTTTATAAGTAACAGTTAAAGAAAAAGCAAAAGCGACATATAAGATAGGGAAAAAAGTAAAAAAGTGTAAAAAATTAGGACCATCTTTATTTCTGAAATGAAAACTACAACTTTCTACAAAGTAGCTTTTCTTGTTTTTTGTTGGCAAATTCTTCAATGACATTGTCAAAAACTATTTCATCTGTCAATTGTCGCTCTATAGACAGTATGGCAAGATTTCTCAACCGCAAGGTGCTCATAGTAGATCTTAAGTAATTCTTGATCAGTTTTAGTTTCGAAAAACTCTTCTCACAGGTAGCAACACTAACAGCAATTGTGAGGAAAATCCTCAGCATTATTACTATATTTGGAACCGAGTTCCCAAGGTTATACTTTTGAATAAACTGCAAAAGTTCAAGGGGGGGCCTTCTTTCCACGTCTGTATTCTGTCTTTAATAGTTATAGCAGCAACAGTAACAAAATGCTGAAGTCTTTTTCTCTCAACGAGGAACTCCTCTTTATCAATGTCGTCGTGATCGTGATCTATTTGACACTCATATTTATCATCCAAAAGATTCAATGGGGTAAGGAAGGCATATTTCTCCGCAAGTTCATGAAGCTGTTGAAATCTCAAAGTTATTTCTTGGATCACTCTGTCCAGCGAAGAAAACATTTCTCTCCTCAATTCAATGTCGTATGGCAATTCAGCATCTCGTGATCCTTCACCAAACATTTGTTTCTTCTTTTTGGGTCGACGCTGACGCTCCATGACTATCCCCAGATCATTGCAAATTTCTTTGGCATAGTTAACTCCATTACTCACTAGCTTGTCCCTATTTTCAACTAGAAATGTTTCTAATGCCCTGAGTTTTATATCACATTGTTGTATGTTCAAGCCCTTGGTTTGGAGGTAAGTCTGCGAGTCGTTAATTTCTAGAAGGACGGGTCCCCACAGGCCAAGAAAGCACAAAAAGGAAAATCATTGCAACGCACCAAGTAGAACACCAGCATCTGCCCTGGTGGCTGTATTTTCTTCTTCGCCAGTTAACTTTTCTAGGGCACTTAAGATTTTTGAGAAATGTTTCTTTACAACACTTACAGCTTCTCCCCTCGCACTCCACCGAGTTTCTATTATGCGCTTGACACTTTGACCAGTGACTGAAGTTAGAACATCCCAGCGATGGGTTGATGAAGGAAAAAATACAAACAAACGTTCCACACATCCAAAAAAGGTAACAGAATTCACAGCAACAGAAGCTGCATGAACACCCGCCAAATTCAGCGAGTGATTTGTACAAGCGACAAATTCTGCTTTTTTATTAATTTCCTTGATACGTTTCTGAACACCAGTATGAACACCAGCCATCACCGCAGCATTATCATATGCTTGCCCTCTACAATTTTGAATATCAATTCCGTCTTTCTCTAATTTTTCCAAAATCATCATTGAAATATTCTCGGCGGTTTTACCTTCTGTTTCAATGAAATCGACAAATGATTCCACAACCTTCACTTTATCTCCATCGATCATAACATAGCGTAAAACTTGGCTCGTTTGATCCTTATGTGAAATATCAGGAGTGCTGTCGAATATCATGGGAAAGTGCTTTGCTTCTTTTACTTGCTTGATGACTTTGCTTCTTACGTTTTCTCCCAAAATTTCTATAAACTCGTTCTGAATAGTAGGAGACAGATAGGAAGTAGCAAACATGTTTCCCAGCTGGATTCTTAGATGATGTTCACGTAGCACTGGATCATATTTCGCCAACAAATCAACTAGCTCTATAAAATTTCCTCTATTTTCCGTTGCTTCAGTCTCGTTTCTCTCATAATTCATTCCTTCTCGGTGGCCTCGTAAAGCCAAATTCTGTTTAGCTAGGAATCTAATAATATCAAGCAATCTTGAAAGGATTTCCTTCCACTTTTTCACTTGGCTTTCAACAACAACTTGTTCTTTTTTATCAATTGTTGCTCCACGAGCAATCCTAATTTCCAACTCCTTCCATTGTGTGAAATTCCGAACGTGAGCTGCACTGGATTCGTGCTCGGACATTCAAGGATCCAGTTTCCACCATATGTTGAATCCATCCTCAGAAGTAAATTTTGAGTTACTTCTGTCTGAAAACAGTTTGCAACAAAAGCAGTAAAGAGGATTAACTTGCCGCCGATACAAAGGGATGGATTAACGTCTCCTGTAGCTGCAGATATGGGTGATGAGCAGACCCAAAAGTGCCGCCCCCCAAAAGTGCCGCCCGGGGCGGACCGCCCCCCCCGCCCCCCCCCTAGCTACGCTAGTGCTCGTTAGCCGCTTGGGCGATCGGTCACGTCTCTGTTACGCACTGTTGGCAAGTATTGGGCATGCACCGGCTCCTGAATGTACCTGAACCCGCTCCAGTGTTGGTCAAGTCTTGTCTTGAAAGAGCTCACACTCGGTGCCGTCACAACACTTTCTGGCCCGGAGGGGAAGGGGAGTATTGCAGTGGATTCCTCCCCTACAAGCACCGAACCTTCTCAAATTCCCCAGCCTACGCCTCCAGCGCCGCCCACGGAGCGGGGGTCAACTATCTACCCACACCTATCCCCGCCTTATAAGGCCTGACACCGCTGTGACCACCCTCTCTATCTACACAGTGCCACCAGCAAGCAACACCACCTCCTCCTCCGCGCCAGCCTGGCGGCTGCCGCTCCCCCCAGCGACCTTGGCGTCCCTCAAGCCACGTGTCCCTCCTCTGGGCACCCTCACCACCCAGCTCTCTCTACTCAACGCTTATTACCATGCTACATACCCAGCAACAAGCTGCATTGTACATCCAATACAATATGTATTCAGTGAGCACATTGTG